CACAAAGTTCCCCAACTCAAGAGTTCAAGAAATAAACCGAATCATCCCACCACGATCAAAGTTGAATCTTCTTGTACATCAAAAAACAATTGCAATTTGCAAGAATATTTAAGTTGAAAGTGCCAATATTCAAATCATTTCTCAAGCACAATTTTACAACAACTTCGAATCATTTTCAAGCAAAATCCTGTTTAACTGCACTAATTGAAACCTCGCCAATGGGATTACCGCACTAGGACTAGGAGTTATTGCTACATATATCTACATTAACTTTTACTGAATCTTCGACATGGAATGGTGGCCCTCCATCATCAATCCAATTGTATACTATCTCCGTACCATTTTGATATCTCTTTTCCTGTGTAAGGATCTTCTATCGCAGTTCAAATCCCATACCTGGTTGGAGGAGGAAAACAAACATATAAGCAAACTATGTTGGTTTGAACCAACAATATAGTTAAGCGCAGGCAATGCATTCTTTATTTGGTCATAGTCACTTGAACAAGCAGTAGAATATTTTGTTAGGGAGTCTTAAAGGACGAAGCGGGGCGTCGCCCTATTAAAGCATAAGGGGCAGCTCCTTCAATTGGATCCTCCGCCTCACTTTATTACGTGAAATTTCGGCATGTGCTCCCAATTTTGCTCTGGTAGCATCCCTCATCTCTTTTGCTTTGTGCAGAGCTTGTCCCGATCCAAATCCCATACCTGTTTGCAGGAAAACAAAAGTATATATAATCAAATGCTTTATTTTCATCTGTTTACACTTGAAAGTCTATTAGGTTTAAGATATGTAAAAGAGAGGTAAACCATCTATCTTAGTCTCATAATCCTCATTCTCCCCTTGTTACTATTCTAATTCAAGACATAAGGCAACAACGATTTATATACTTGCAACTAAAATTCAAGAGATTTTTGCATATAATGAGCTTAAGTTACAGATAAATATGATATTTAAGTTTTCTTTTTTCTCAATCATGAATTTGATTTTCGTTCCGTCAGGAAATTTCCAAGAGGCAGGAACGAGCAGTCCTCCATAATTGTTTACCTGACTATGGTTTATCAGTTTTCTTGTCTAGTAGCCAATTTTTCAATGGCAAAATGACTTATAAAGTAAACTATTTACTAGCACAAAACGTTGAGAAATTAAGGACGATGCAGGTGGATAAATGAAAACAGAGTTCCAAAACTTGGTTTAGCTTTATTCTATCAGAGACAAGCTTCATCCAACTCGATCACATCGTGAGGGCCAAACTTTATACATGGCTCAATGAACAGGTAACAATGTCATCTGATGCTGAGGTGAATAATTTGCAATCTTTGCCAAATACTACCACATGGTTGCAAACGCATATCTTCACCACTCTCTCAAATAAAAGCTCTCTTCAGATAATGTGACCAAACAAAATATTTTTGGGTGCACATTGTGTTAATGTAAATATGGAGTACTACCTTCAATAAATTAAGCTGTGTCACAATCTGTAAAAAATATAAATACCTTGTTGTTGTTCATCATCCATTTTTTTTTTGAAAAGCTATAATTTAATTCACATTTTACATGTTCATCATTGATTAGACTATAGTTTTGATAATGGTATTAAATTTTATTACACAATTTGAACTAAATTTAGAGTTTTTTCTTTTTTTTGTTACCTGTTTTAAGCAGATGCATGGTTCGGACTGGAAAAAGGACATCCAAGAGTGAGATTAGAATATAAACTTATTTAAATTAAAAAAAATAAATTTGGCGGTAAATAAGATCCAAGGAAGTACCAGATCTTATTAAAGTAGTACACTCAAGATACAGGCAGAATGATTCACATTGCCAAGCACCTGTTGTGAAGCTGGGAATACATAGCTTTAAAGGGTGCGGCAAAGTTTTACAAAATTATTTCATAGCATTACATAGCTCGAGAAGTGAGTCTGGGATGCGAGCCTCAGACTTTAATCCTCTTATTGACGAGTAGCAACCATTAAAGTAAGCATGAGTTGCTTATTTATTTTTACTGAATTCGCAACACCCCCTAAATAGGATTTGGAGGGAACCTTATAAGGTTAGTCTCCTCTGAGCAAGTACCAGCCAATTTCTTGGGGCAGTCTCGAAGGACAGAAGGTGGGTCTCCCCTGTTAAAACAAAAACGGATCTCCCACAGCTGAGGGATCCGCAACGGATCTAAAGCGCGAGGCCGAGTGTTACATGCAATTTGAGGATATGCTCCCAAATTTTGCTTGACAGCTTCTAAGATGGTTCCCACTTCATGTGTTTCATCTCCAGGTTGAATTCCAATAACTGGTTAGAGGAGGGAAGCAAAAGATATAATCAATATTGCTTTCCTTTAATTTGTTCACAGGGTTTAGTCAATGTGTTCTTAATAAATACAGTCATTGAATATGAATTTAAAGCTATACTTAATCAATTTTTATGTATAATTACCTTCTAATGGATTGTACGTTTTAGTGAGCAAAACGGTCCTGTGAAAATAACCAAAAGGATCATGAGGATAATTCGAACACATTCCATGATTTTCCCATTCATGGCTCCAAAAACCTTGATCATCCCGTTGATCATTTCTGGTGAGAAGGTTTGGCCAATATTCCGTTAATTCTCCTTGGATGAGCCCCAATTGATTCTACAAGTTTTAATTAAATAAATAACTAATAAGAATTGCAAGAATAAAAATAATATATATAAATAGGACCATAAAATTCTTACCATAGCATCTGCTGAACTCATGGGAGTGACACCGATGCATGAAGTATCCTCGTTGTAGGGACGCACCGGTTCGTCATCAGCATGTTGTGGCCATAAACCATGGATGGTGAACTTATTGGGGATGTCTGGAATACACCTCCTTCCGGTGTAACAAACAGAAGGTGGCCACTGGAGACTGAGCTTGTAGAAGTCAAAATCAGACATAACTGACACTAGCAATGTGGCTAGGACAGCAACAGCTAATAACTGCCTATTCATTGTTGCAAGAAGAAGATGCTAGGTAAGTAATCAAGCTTGCCCAGAGTACATCTATGGAGAATATATATATATATATATATATATATATATATATATATATATATATTGCCGCACTAGCAGTGACTGCTACATCCACATTGCTAATATTTTTGGGTTGTGGTTTCCACTGTCCAGGTTGTAGCCTCATATATTCCCTTTCCTCTCATTTTATTTATCTCTATATAATATTCACCGAGTTTTAAAAAATTTGTTGATTTCAATGTATTTCATATGAATTTGATGTTTTATATTTTTTAATGTCCGAACTATTAAAGAAAGACAAGCTAAAAATTGAGATGGATAAAGTATATATAATTTTACAGTTTGAAAAATTAAAAAAAAAATCATGCACCGATTATTAAATCAAATATTTAGCAATTTCGGAGCTTGTAACGTCCCTGATTTCCTGCTCTATATGTGGTGTAGCTTGGGATGATTCTTTATTGTTTGCAGCTAAGGTAAAAATGTTTTGGGACTTCCTTTGCAGATTCTTTAGGCAAGTTTGGTGCTGATAGATAAAAATGTTTTATACTTGATCGTAGTTCTAGAATGAGAATTATGTTTTATTCTTTGATTTTTATAGTTTGGATAAGTTTATGATGTTACAAACTTTTCTCTTTAGTTATACATGTATCTCAATTTTATTGAGATAACAACAATTATATCAATGTTCAGGTATTAATAAAATTATATTTTCAAAAAAAAATATACATGAGATTTCATTAACGAATAAATTTACAAAAAACTTTTAACAAAATAGTAATGGTACAGAACTACAAATGAAGAGACATAATTCCTCTTTCTTCGCTTGACTGGCATATACAATAAGAACAAACCAACTTGATTGCAATGAGATCAGACTACAACTAAGACAATCC